AAAAAAAAAAAAGAAAAAGAAATAAAGCTATGTTGTTATATTGAGCTGTAGGGGACTCAGGTCAACAACTTCTGACATTGTCAGTCAAGCATAAGACCCAATACTATTATGGACTACTGGACTATTTTGGAATATTTTGCTGAGTTCACACACCTGTAATATTTAAATGATGGAACTAAACAAGAAAAGGGGATACAGATGAATGACCATTTTGTATCTGTGTATTCAAAATGGTTAGGATAGATATATAGCTACATTCTCTTAATTCAAGAAATAGAGGGATTTGTTCTAATTGTGTTTGTAAATAGGATAACATGTCTGCATCTTGTACAACAAATAACTAGGAAGGCAGTATGCAATGTGTTAATTATTGGAACTGTCCTACCAATTGGATTTGAAACTGTCTCATTGCTATATGTCTTTCAATAAAATTATGGAAAAAAAAAAGAGCAACATGGGTGTATTTCCCACCAGTAGTGGGGGGCCAAGGACTCCTGACTGTTGGTATCCTTGGTCTCACAAGAGACACAGCTGCTACAGTGACCTTGGAGTCCCCCGCACTCTGCAGTCGCTTCCCCCTGGACCACACCTTCCACAAGGAGTGCAGTGAGTTCCCAAGTGGGGGGGGGGGTTCTGCACCTAACCTGCCTCCGTCTCCCAGTACCCAACACAGTAGATGCTCAACAAGTGCTGGCTGAGCTGTACGGAGCTCCCAACACAAAGAGCCTCCCAGGTTTCCTCACGGTCACATGCACCTTTCCACAGAGGCATGTTTCTGGTACGAAGGCCAGGGCTAAAGGCAGGAGAGAACCCTCCCGGGTTGCATGGGAGCCTCCCTCCTCTGACGTCCACTTTTCCTGGGCCCCACTCTGCGCAGCCCAGTCCATGTGTGACTACCTCCTGCCTTACCTGTAGGCAGGTTCCCACTGTTTCATGGGGTCCTGGCTGGTGAGGCTCTTCATGCACTTCAGCCCACTGGGCTCATCCCGCTCTGTCTTCACAAAGTCTGGAAGGCAGGGGCCGGGAAGGAACACATGACGACCCAGCTGTGGAGTCTGGGTCAGGGATGGCAAAGTGGATGGCAAATTGTGGCTACTTGGGCAAGTGTTTTAAGAGCCTGAGGCCTCCTTTCAGTAACTGATTAGTTGTGCCTGCTATGGCTTCAGAAAGTTGGTGATTGATTAGTTATGCCTGCCCTGGCTCCACAAAAAGAAGAACTGGCATATGTGACACAGTTGTTATTTTATGAGACAGCTCTAACTTGTTGGTTTTTAGCAAGGGACAAAACAGGTAAATACTGCTTGTCAGATTAGAACAAAACAAAGCTAAACAGTGGCTCCAAAAGAACATCTACTACTCAGGGCCAAACTGTGCAGGGGTTTCAAGGGGAATCAGAACCCCTGTCTTCATTTGCCCCTCTGACTTGCCCCTCAGGGTGCCAGGTCCCATCACTCCAACCCACCGTGCTGCTGGAGAAAGGAACCAGATCTGTAGAGACAGCACCCTGGGTAGCACTGCATGCACCTATACTCTCACCTTGGCCTGGCCACAGACTGGGCACAGGATCTGCAACCAACCATTTAGCCTCTGTGCACCTCAGTTTCCCCTTTTGCCAAACAATGACAATAACACAGGGTGGCCATGAGAGCTAAGTGAAGCAATGTGTCAGACAATCACTTTGCACATTATTAAGTCTGCAGATAGCACCAAATTCATTTGTGGCACTGTAATTTCAGAGCTTAACAGTTAAAGGGGAAAAGGAAAGAAATTTGAATCTCAGCCCACCATGTTCTCCCTGTGGTGGCAGGGTGTTTGCAGCAGTGGGGCAGCTTTTATCTGAGACTTGATCAGCAGGTCTCCTGTGCGCATTTACAGGGGATGACACTCCAGGCTGGTGTTTCACAGAGGGTAACAAAGCAGCCACAGAGACTATTTGTTACTGAACATGGCTGCACTTTTGTGTGTGTGTGTACACTGCTGAGGACTGGACCCAGAGCATCACGCATGTGGGCTAAGTGCTCTGCCCCTGAACTACATCTTTAGCCCTGAGGTCATTTTCTGGGGGCCAAAACTGAAATTTCTCAGCAGCCAGCCAAAGCAAGGAAGTGGCATGTAAGAGGACAAAAGATTTGAGGTCAAGTTCAGAAGGTGCCCTGCTGGGAGACAGACTCGAGGATGCTGCTAATTTTGAAGGCAGCTGGAACTGGAGCAGGCAAAAACCAAAGAAATGTGTAAGGTCAAGGGTGGGGGCTTCGAGGTATAAATGGTGGGTCACAGTGCATTGGAAGGCAATTTATAAAAAATAGCATTTGGCATGTCGTGCCGGCCCCGCCCCGCACACTGAGCCTCCAACAGAGTCCAGGCATGGTGGCATACACCTGTAAAATACCAGCACTGGGAGGCTGAAAATAGCAGGATCACTATGAGTCCGAGCTATGTAATGAGACCCTGCACAAAATACATAATGGAAAAAAAAAAAAAAAAAAGCATTTGTGATGTCCAATCCTCAACTACCCAACTGTATCCTACCTTTTTTTTCTTTTTCTTTCTTTCTTTCTTTTTTTTTTTTGGTGGAACTGGGGATTGAACTCAGGCCCTTGTGCTTGCCAAGGAAATGCTTATTCTACTGAGCCATCTCTCCGGCCCCCTACCTTTTTTTTTCTTTGAGATACAGTCTTGCTAAATCACCCAGACTGGACTTGGACTTGTGACCTCCTGCTTCAGCCTCCCAGAAAGCTGGGATTATAGCTATGTGCCACTATACCTGGCTTAAGAGTTATCCATGGGGACAGGATGGGTTAGACTGCTTGAGCTCTGAGACCACAGCAGAGATTGCTGGAACTTTGGTGGGAGAAACCACGCATGTCCCTACTGTATCTGCACACTGCAAGGGGCCAGAGTGCTAGCTTACCATAAAGTTTTTCCCTTGTCTTGCCCTGGGAGGTCTGCAGCTTAATGGCCCCCTGGAAGTGGCCAGTCATCTCTCCATGGTGGGTGAGTGGCGTATAGATAGGCACCCCAGTTTCCGTGGCCTCCATCCGAAGGGCGATGCAGCCCTCACCTGGGGGAAGACAACAGTGTCAAGATCCAGGCACCCCTGGGAGGAGCAAGGAACATCGGCTTAGAGACTGGACCCAAGCACCTGAAGACGGGGCCTCAAAACAATGGCCCAGCCAGGCTTGGCAGTGGATGCCTGTAACCCTAGCCCTGGTGAGGCAGAGGCAGGAGGAGCACCCTGAGTTTGAGGCTAGCTTGGGCTCCATAGTGAACTTTCCTCATCATCCCACACACCAATCACCAAGTAAAGAACATCCAGACAAACAAACCAAGCAATGGTCAGGCCGGGATCGGTTCACAACTCCTTTAGAACCCGGTCTCAGCAATATGGGGCAAGTACTCAAACCTCACAGCAAAAAGAGCTCCCCACGGATTAGTCACCGTAAAAAAATAAAATAAAATAAATCCTAGAAGATCCTGCAGACAGAATTGCACATTAATCTTGCTGCTGCAGGGGAAGCCAACTTCCTAAGGTTTGAAACAATGCAAAATAGGCCGAACTGAGATCGGGGGTGGAGGAAGAGGAGTGTTTTTCATACAAAGAAAAAACTAAAATCAAGAGGAAGCTAACATGCCCAACATGGGGGCCCTGCAGCTCAGCATGGTGGGCTGAGCTTTGGGCTCAACAGTACAGGCAGAACGAGGCCCCACGTTGGGCTCAGCTGATTATTAGGACCTGAGTGAGTCATTTGATCCCTCTGCACCTGTTTGTACCCATGCACTGGGGAGTGCTGGGTGCTAAGGTATAGATCTAAAACATTCCTGTGTGTGTGTGTGTGTGTGTGTGTGTGTGTGTGTGTATAAGGTGACTGAATCATGGGGTGCTTTACCCATCAGCAGTTTCATCTGTTGAGTTTAGTTGCTAAATCTGTTAGGAGGTGGGGCTTGCTGGGAGGTGGTGACCACTGGGCGTGACCAGGAGGGTGCGCGCCTGTCCTGGCTCTTCCCTCTGCTTCCTGGCTGCTGTGAGGAAGCAGCTCTCCTCTGCTGTCCACCATGCCCTTTCTGCCTCAGAGCCAGCTGACCACAGACTGAGCCCACAAAACCACAAGCCAAAATAAGCCTCTTCTCTTCACCACTGTGGGCATCAGGTGTTGTGTCCTGGCAATGGGAAGGCTGAGACAGCAACTCGTGGTGGGATGAAATCATGTAAGATCTGCAAAGCGCACAGACTGGACACCCAGGAAGGCTCCCTACATGGGAGGGACCCTGGCTCTGTGCCATTATACACAGAAGCCCATGGGACAAGGAAAGGTGAGGAGGGGACAGGTATGCTAAGCTCACCATAGGATTCATCACTGTCAGAGGACTTAATGCTGATGAGGATGTGCTGGTCCAGCAGGTACTCAGGATCAGAGATGATGGGCTTCAGCTGCAGGGAGAAGGCACAGGGTTAGTGCCAACAGGGGGGGGGTAGCAAGGGAGCAGGTAGGTGGACAAGTGGACCTGAAGCAGGCCTAAGGAAAGGAGGCTGAAGATGCTGTCATTAACCAGGGTCAAGTCCCGGCTCCCTGTGTCTGAGAGTGTGTTTAGGGACCCCACTCCCAGCCCACTGCACTAGACTTTCTTCTCATCCCCGACCACTACCAACTGCAACCCAGTGTCCTAAGCTGGGCTGGGCTCCCAGGACCCAGGGAGAGGGCTGGCAGCGAATGGCCCCATGCCTGCTGCCTCTCCTTTCCTTCCCTCCTCTGCAGGGTCTAGAGCCAGGTCTGGAATAGGCTGTGCATCCCACTGCCCCAGCTTCCCCAGAAAGGTGCCTGCCTTCCCTTCAGGTCTTCCTGAAGGACAGGAAAGAGGCCGGTGTTCCCCTCATGGCCCTCCCAGTGGGGTCTGCAGTATGCTACAGGTGGCTGGTCATCGTGGTTCAACGCATGACTGTCAGACCACACTCCAGCCCTGTCCTCAACTTCCAGATGCAAGAACTGCTCCGAGCCAGGCACTGCTGGCCTCCAGGAGCCCACTGGTCTCGCTCAGCTTGTTGATACCAGGCTTTGCTGGTTGATGCAGGCCTGTAGGGCATGTGGCTAGTTCAGGGACGGGCTCTGGCATCGTATTAGCTCCTCAGCTAGAATTTATGTTTCTCTCCACTTTAGGAGCCTCCTCACAATGATAAGCACGAGGAAAGGGCCAAAGGAAAAGGTCAGGGGCTCCAGGCTATGACTTTCCTTCCCCGCTTCCAGGTACCAAAAGGCCCCAGGAAGAGGCTCTGGGCACTACACTGAACATCAAGACGGACTCCCTATTCTTTCTTGAGAAAGTTCCAGACAATGACCGGAAATTGCAGTAGGCCCCCGAGAAACAGGAATTCACCTGACTGAAGGGCAACCACAGCTCAGGGATGCCCTCTGCTCCCAAGGATGGCGTCATGGCAGACCCAGGCACCAGAACCTGCCCATGACTCACCTCTGAGGGCATGGACAGCCCCTCAGCCTCAGTTGCCCCTCCTCGGTGCCCTCCCTCTCTGGCGACCTAAGAAAGAAGCCGCCCGCTCGCTGTGCACCGATGCAAACACCCAGATCACCTGCCCAGCCCTCAGGATCAGAGGAGCAGTTTGGGCAAGAAAGCATTTTTCTGTTTAAAGCACTCCTACAAAGGCAGCCTGCAGGGTTACAGGCCCAGCCTGGGTCACGGTCACTGGGCTGGAGTGTTCGCCGTGTCCACAGGGCTCAGTTAGGAGCTGTGGCTCCTTGGTACATCTTCAGGTGATGTTGTGGGCCAGCGCTGAATGGGTGATGGAGGCCCAGGGGAGCTGGATGGGGTGCAGAGGGAGAAAAAGGAAGGTGTGTGCCGGGCAGGGACCAGCCCCCCACGAGGATGTGACCCCGATGCACTGCAAACACGGACTGATACAAAAAGATGAGCTCTGCTATCAGAATAATAAATTTGGGGGCCTGCCCATTAGCTCAGGTGTTTAAGTGCCTCCTGAAACAAAGCAGTTAGGCTCAGGATGCTGTAGTTCAATCCCCAGATCCTCAAGCCAAACCAGACCTGCCCTGAAGGCATCCTGAGTGCCGCCCTCCAAAAAAACCCCAGAATAACAAATTTAACCAGTGGACTCTAAAGGAGGAAAACAAAGGGGAACCGGGTATGTTTTGAGGACTGAGCCCTGGGTCTGCTGCCAGGGATGCCTCTCATTCTGCACCTTAGGGGTGCCTCCTTATTTGTTTACTTAGAGATTTTCTTGGAGCAGGGTCTCATCATATAGTTTAGGCTGGCCTTGAATTCACTATGTGGACCAGGCCAGCCCTGAAACACACAGCAATTTTCCTGCCTCAGCCTCCTGGTGCTGTGAGTACAGGTGTGCATCACCATGCCTGCCTATCTGTTCTTTTTGCAAAATTATGATTTTATGCGGACTGCTAGGTCTCACCCATGATCACTGAGGATCTGAGAGCCATTTAGGAATACTGAGGTCACTTCCACCGCTGCTGCGTTCAGTCTGTGGACTCCAGTGCCCTCCAGTCAGCTCTGTGCCTGCCCAGTGCCACTGGCCTGGTGACTGTACCTTTCTCCCTGGGAGCAGAGAAGGCTTTCTGAATTACCTTGGGAAGCGTCTCGCCAAACTTCACCACCAGCTCCCCCTCACTGCCCTCTTCGTTTTCTCCTTCCTGGCTCTTGACAAAACCTGTGTGAGAGCAGGAAGGCGGTGTGCATAAGACAAAGCAAGGGTCAGACACAAAAGCCTCCCGGGGCCACCTCGCCCTGGTGGGGAGCGGTTTCCATCCTCATCAGTCCTGGGGGCCTCAACACTATCGAGGAGTCAGGCTTGCTGAGGATCTGGTTTGTTCAGGGATGGTCATTTGCCAACATGCTGATTATTTTTAGGAAAATCGCAGAGATCCCCCTCCTTTCTAGCTTCCCCTTGCAATAAACCAGGCAACAAAGAAATCATCACATCCTAGGCAGGAAGATCGGGAAACATGACAGCTCATCCCACGCCACTCAGGATAGCAGCCTTTTGAAATTCTAATTTAAGCTTCCTAATATGCCGTTTCCATAGAAATGTATGCAAATGTCTCTATAGTTTATTAAAAAAAAAAAAAAAAAACCACCCGCACAAAAAATTCTCATCCTTTTCCGAACTGCTCTGACCCAGCTTGCTGCACTGGGGTTTGGGGACTTCATGGCAAAGGCCGCTCCGTCCCTAGGACTGAGTTGGAGAAGGGACAGGCCCAGAGGCCAGGATCATGGCTGGTGACAAGTCCTGGAGGCATCACATCCATGCTGCAGTCTATGGAGTCTGCTCTTTCCCTCCCCCTGCACTAAGCAGTGAGAACTAGACCCAAGAAGAGCCTGACATGATAGGCCTGGAAATGTCACCCAGAAAGTGCCTCCTGACCTCTGCATCACAGGAGGGTATCCAGCCCTGCTTGCCACAGCCACCAGAGGAGGGTGCCGCAGACTGAGGGGGCGGGGCTACAGCTGTTTAGGGCTCTCTGTGGCCTCCACAGCTTGGGAGCTTTGCTCTAGACACTGGCTGAGGTACAGCATGGCTTGGGGAACTCTAGTGGTTACAGCTCACTGAGGGGGTAGGGAGGGGAGCCAGGGGCTCACAGGGGTTAGTAACTTTAATGGCTGCTCCTGTCCCCAGGGCTGGCAGAGGGCCATCCTCTGTAGCTCCACTCCTTCAGCCCCACTAAAGCACATCTGAAAATTTTCTAGAGAGGAAAAACAAGGCTGGACTTGGACACTGAAAAGGCCTGGGAACAGAGTCCTGCTTGCCCCACCCAAGGCAGTCCTGGGCCGCTTACTCTCCAGGCAGCTGGAGTGGAGCTCCAGGTAGAACTTGGTCTTCGACTTTGTCTTCAGAGTGGCACAGCATGCAAGGAACTCGATCTGCCCCTGGCTGTCCCCGGTCCCCGGGCCTGCAGCAGGTGAGGACAGAGGTTCAGCGCCAGTATGCTAAGGTAGCGCGTTTCCTGGCTGCTCCTCCCAGGCTGCTTCCCCCAAGGGTCCCAGGAAAGGCAGAGTCTGGGAGGAAGTTTGCCTTGAAGTAAAGCTTCAGAGAGCCACTGCCCACCACACCAGGCATTGTGACAATTTCAATGACCTCTCTGATCAGTCCTGAGCTGGCCATCCAGGAGCAGAGCAGAGAACAGAGACAGGGTACTCTCAGCACTGTCCCCAAATCTCTGGCCTTGGACAACCCCTTACAACCTCGCTACACAGTCTTCCCACAAGGTCTGACAAAGAGAGCTGGCACTCACTGTCCCAATCTGTTCAGCTGCTTTTTTGTTGTTTTGTTCTTTTGAGACAGAGACTGGTTATGTAGTTCAGGCAGGTTTTGAACTCAAATTGCAATGATCCTCCTGCCTCAGCCTCCTGAGTACCAGGATCGCAAGTGTGTGAGAGCCTACACAAAATTTCCATCTGCTCTTTCTCCCTGAAGTGCAGTGACCCCAGTTCTCACCCTGGCCTCTGATCTGTCACTGGTACGCAGTGAATTTGGAAATGTGGACTTTCGTGGTGCATTTGCTATTGTCCTTAAACTGGCTTTAAATATTTTTTCCGTCCTACAAATTCTGAGCCACTTGGGAACAAGAACAAGTCTTTCCTTTTGTCCCCACTGCCATGTGTCCTTCCCTTTCTCCTTCCAACTCTGGGCAACTTCCGTTAGGTAGATACTCAATCCAAGCTATATCCGAGGGACCAGGATCTTTGACTCTGAAATGGACAAAGCTGTCGCAAATGACAGGGCCATGATAAGGGCCACCTCTTAGAGGCTATAGGAACTCAGAGAAAGAGGAAGGAGATAGCAGGGGCAGGGATGAGAAGGTAACTAAAGATTAGTTTCTGGAAGGTTCTAGAAAGTTCTGGAAAGGCTGTAGCACAAGACAGAAAGGAGACACAACCTTGAAGCAACATCAAGATGAGGTGAACATGTTGCTGGGGCTTTGAATACCAGAACCCACAGTGAGGGGAGAGCACCTCAGAAAGCCAGCCTCCTCTGGCTGGATGTGGGCACCCCACCTGCACCTTCCTAGATGAGCCCAAAATATCTGCTGCACAGATATAGGGAGCAAGCAGAGGAAGTGGGTGACAAGCCAGCCCTGGCCTAAGGCTGAGGGCCAGGTGGACGCATGACCAGGACTGCCTAGCCCCTCCTGGGACAAGGGTGGCCTGATGACTAGAGCTGGGCAACTTGAAAAACTATGTGCAAATCTAGTGTTTCTGGAACTGGGGATGGCGGTGCACACCTGTGATCACAGCATTTGGGAGGTTGAGGCAGGACAACTATTGAGAAAGCAAAGCCAGCCTGGGCTGCACAGTGAGTTCAAGGCCAGCCTGAACTACATAGCAGGACCTGGTTTCAAACCAAATAAACCCCTCCAAACAAAAAACTGAAAACAAGCAAAAATCCAGTGTTTTCCAAGATTCAGCCACCCACACCTGACTTCCACGATTTCTAACATCTTCGGCACCATGCACCCACACTAATGTCTACTTAATGTTTACTTGAAAGAGACACAACTCGAAAGCATAAATGTAATTAAATAAAATATACCACACTATTAAATGGAAAGCTAAAGTGCTTGCCTTCCCAGAAGAGATCAGTTCAAAACATATTAGAATGAATCAACGATCATTCACTCAACCTGAATCGCCTTGGGTGTCCACGCCACAGTCTGGTAGACATACATTCACACAATCTCTCACTATAGCACACTGAGTTTGCAGTAGGTTGGTGTATGTGCCAGACATAGCAGGTAGACTCAGGACGGAAGCAGTGACGAGGCTGCCTACCAGGAGACCGATTGGCAGGTTGGCTCTGGGCTTGGTGGGAGAATTGGCCTCAGCCCACCGGGACCACGGATTGCTGCAGCCAGAACTGAGCACCCAGGCTCCTGTCTCAGGGAAATAGACCTAGCCTTGGGCCAGAACTTACTGTTCTTGGAGACGAACTGGGAGGTGACCCCCAATTCAAATGTGGCAAACACAGGGCTATGGTCGCTCGTCATGATGTCGCTGGTACTGCCTGCAGGGGAGGGAAGGAAGGAGGCCTGTGGTCAAGCTGTGGGCAGGTGACACCAGCAGTTGGGAAGCTGAGGCCAGGAAACACAGGTGTGGGCTTCTGGGTTAGGGTCGCCTCCCAGCAGGGCTGCCATCTGGGAGTGTCCCAAGGGCTGGGAGGACATCAGAGCAGTGGAGCTTTGAGACCCTTGCTTCTACCGCAGCATGTCCTGTAGATCACTGATATACTGTGTTCCCAGTGGAAAGACCTAGGCCCCTGGTTTGCCCCGATTTCCTGGACTCTGCAGCTCCATTCCCTTCTCTCTCTGATGTCCTCATCCTCCACTAAACCTCATCTTGTGCCCTCAGTGTCGTCAGTGAAATCCATCTCTTCAACCTCCCCTTCCTACCAAGCCTGGTGGAAGACACGGCAGGCCCTGGGCACACCGGGTCTGAGGCAGGACATGTGCGCTCAGGTCTCCTCTCTGCAGAGCAATGCTGGGAGCCAAGCCGAGGCTCTCTGACAGGAAGTGGTATCCATGCCCCACCACGGTCTCTTAAAGGGTGGCTGGTGAGGGCAGATGGCTGCCCAAGACGAAAACTGGCAGGATGTGCGAGGGAGATGATGATGGGACTGAACTTGGCTGGAGCTAGGCAGGGGCCATATGCCTGGGGAGCTCTGGTATGGAGGTCACCTGATTAAGGGATGGGAGCTTGCCCATCTTCCAGACAAGCAGACTGAGGCTTGGTGTCGTTCTTGTAAGCCAAGCTTGACTCACCGTAGGACTGACACACCACATGCACCAGAGGGTAAGACTTCCACAGCACTCGGTCACACCAGGAGGGCAGGTTATATTTCATCTGCAAAGCCAAGTCACAGGGTGGTAAAGTGCCTGCTACTCTTTTCTTTTTATTCAGTAAGAAAGGAGAGAGGAAAAAAAGGGAGAAAAAAGAAAGAGCAGGAACTTCCCAAATCCACACATCTACCTGATTTTGCTCTTCTAATGCCAATCTCATATTCCAACCACTTTCTGGCTATCTTTTTAAAATTCTCCATTGATATCATCCAATCACCGCTGTCTTCTGATCTTCCAGTTTTTATTAATGGCAGCCAGATCTTTCCAATGCACTCTCCTCTTTTCTCTCATTTGCCCCTGACCTTGAGTAGCCTTGGGTTCTCAACCATCCAATTCCTGTGCCCCTCAGGGCCCTGCCCTCAGCTGCTTTCCTGGGTTGGACCCTGTAAGGGGGCATCTGCCTCTTGCACTCAAAAATTTCCCAGCCCTTCTGCCATCATGGCTGTGCAGAAATGCAAACTGCCCTTCAAGGTGTGTCTGAGAAGCCGCCCCATCCTTCCTAGCCACCACAGTCCCCTCCACCTGACTGCTGTTGCCCTGGCCACTCTCACTTCTGGCATCAGGTTGCAGGCCTGAGAGGGGGTAGCTGGCTCCTATCTTGTCTTCCTTACCATAAACTCTCTGGAACAAGCAGCTACTTCAGCTCTGATCCTCTGATCTCTCAGACTGGAGGGCACCTGACCTCCTCCAGGCTATCAAGAGAGATCTCCCAACAAGCGAACAAATAAATCTTTTACTGCACCTTCTTCCAAACCCTGCTCCTCAATCACAAAAGACCTCCTAATATACCAAGAACCATAATGCTCTGAGGCCCATAAAAGCTCTCCTAAGTCCTACAGGGAAAAAATCTAGTTAATGTTGATTAATTTGGGAAATTAGCAAAATATATTTGATTATAGGACCTTGGGTTTTTTGTCAAACAGATTTTAGAACCTAGTTATAAAAGCAATGACTGAGTATTTTCTTAGAACCTTTGTATTTGGACAGAAGGTAAATCATAAAGGTCATTAGTTCAGCTCTATCATCATCATCATCATCATCATCATCATCATCATCATCATTGGGTTTTAAAGATGAAGTCTCCCTGTGTAGGTAATGCTGGGCTTGAACTCAACTCATTTTGCAGCCCAGCCTACACTCAAGCTCACGGTGATCCTCCTGCCTCAGCCTCTCCAATGCTGGGATTACAAGTGTGTGCAAGGAAGCTGGCAGGAACCCCGGGAAGGACTCACTCCTGTCGCTTTCTGCTTCGTGTAGGCGTATTTGTCCCGAGTCAGCCTTTCAAATCGATAGGTGGGTGCAAATGTGATTTCTTCCTCCTCTGAAACAGAGATAGGTGTTGGACCTCAAGTAGCCCTGCTCTGCAGACCCAGGCCTCCCCCAGCAACGATATCCAGGGGACGGGGGATAGTGGCAGGGGTGCAAGGAGACTACTCACCAAAGTGCAGGAAAACCTTCTGCTCCCTCCGCTCCATGAGCAGCTGGTCATGGGCCAGGAGGTCGGTATACTGCTGCTGCCGGATCTTCTGGATGATGGCTTCTGCCTCCTGCAGTGAGGTGGCCCCAGTGAGACCCCTCACCCCAGCTCTGGAGACCTGGGCCACTGCTCTCATGTGTTTAATCAGAGCTCTGGACAGCAGCAGTGTCCAAATAGCTCAAGTCCCTGGCTAGGCCACACTCGCATAGGGACATTTTATTTTATTTTTATACTCTGTTAGTATCTTTCCTTTTCCTTTTCAGTATAGAAAATCAAACCCAGCACCATTGCACTGAGCTGTCTATATCCCCAGGTTCTAAGACAGAATCTCTTGAGGTCACTAAGTTGCCTAGATTGGCCTTGGGCTTTCAATCCTCCTGCCTTAGCTTTCCAGAGTAGGGGGATTACAGGTGTGCACCACCATGCTCGGCACAATATCGTTGTTATTAATACTTCACAGGCAATAGGTAGATCTGCCTCTCCTCACTTTTCCTGTGTGGATGGGGACACCCCAAGCCAGCCTCTGAATCTCCAGGCAGAGATGCCTTTCCTGGACCCAGGCTGCCGGCTGAGGGACTGTCACAGACCAGCGATCTGAGTGACTGAGACAGTAGTGACTGTAAGGAGGGCGGTCATGCCAGCCATGGGACTGGAGGGGACCACACAGAAGGCTGAGGCTCCATGATGGGATGGTACTGAGCCCAGGAGGAACACAGGTGTCGGCTCCTTACCCAGGTGGGCAGGTCCACGCGATAGTTGAGATCCCCAAACCAGAAAAGGTGGGTGAAGCGGTGCGTGATGTTGAAGGGGCTCAGCTTTCTGTCTCCCAGGGCCAAGAACCGGAGGATATTCATGTAGTTTTGGTTTCTCCTAATTCAAAGAAAAAAGCACCATCATGCATGGGGATCACTGATGCCAAGCAGGCATCAGCACGGTGCCTGATCTGCAAGGCCACCTGTATCCAGGGCAGCAAGACGGGCTTTATCAGGAGCCAGCTGAGGCACCGCGTGGAAGGGAGGGGTGGTTAGGTGTCCAGCAGGCTAACGACACAGACATCCTCGCTGTCCTCTGGACGACAGTCATTCACACCAGAAGTGCCCTGAGAGCTGTAACTGTCTCAGCTGAACCCAGGAGGAGCCCCCAAGGGCTATGTGTCACCGAAAGGTCCCAGGCTGAGTGGGGGATTAGGGCATTTGGAGTGCGAGCCACCTAGGCAAGGGACCAGGCCCAGACTGCTGGGGAAGGGGCCTGGTTACCTGAGCTTTTTTTCACTTCCAGAAGTCAAGTGGCTGTTGACAAACCCCAGAGAGGTTCCATTGAACATGAACGACACTCCCACGGCTCCCTTGTTCCCTAAGAGGGAAGAGAAAGGAGCATCAGAACGTCCAACAGGCACATGCGGAGGGAACTGGGGGTCAGCCCTGAGGCAAACAGCGAGAGACGGGAGGGAGAGGAGGCCAGAGAAAGCAGCCAGGGCCCCTTGGGGTGACAGGTGGCTGCCAGCAACTTTGGGCGTCACCGAACTGACCAAAGACCCCCACCAAGAGCACACTTTTTCTCCCCGCCCTTTGAGCTCTGCTAGACAGGTGGCTTTCAGTGTGTTCCCTGGGCCACGCAGCAACCTGCTGGGAGGAGAAACCCCTGACCCACTGGAGCAGTGGTTCTGGGGGCCCAGGAAGGTGTGGGAACAAGCCTGCTGCAGGCTCACATGAGGTTTTACATCCTCATGTCATTGGGGAAATAACATCAAAAAAAGTAAACTTCCACAACATTAAAGCATGAAGCAGGGCCGGGGAGA